TCTCTCTCTCTCTCTCTCTCTCTCTCCTTCGCTCTTTTCTCCCTCTATCGAACTTTCGCGGGCAATCATTTGCACGGGTCGGATTGCGTCGCTCCACAGCTGAATATGATTCGAGAATGCTGTACACTGTGTAGAATGAAGAATAAAGTTTGGCTTCGACATTACTTCGTGTTCCTCATTTCTTCCGGCGAGCGGCGAGTACTCGTCCGCTCGCGCGCGAGACACCTCACTACTCATCATCGCGTCGTTTAAATCGCTCGTTTTCAATCGCTTCCTTGTCTCCCTCTCAAACTGCACCCCCTCGCTCATGATAACGAAGTACTCCTGCTCATCTACTCCTGCTTGTTTTTATCGCTACGAAACTACAGTCGCAACGTAAAGCGATCGATACGCGAAGAACGTAGACTGAATACCGCCGGAGTCGAAGAAACGCTCGCGAGCAGGGGGGATGCTTCTTCGTGGACGTCGTAAAGTTTCACACATTTATTTCACGCAGTGACCTGTAGGTGTCGGCTATCTGGTTGGTGGCAGAGACTCGACGGCGAGTCGAGCCTCGAGGAGATCTCCTTAAAGCGCCGGCTCCGTCAGCTGATCGTCGAGATGCAGAAGGTGATCGCGAAAATCAAGATGATCGAATTCAGCGATGGATCGCACAGTCGAGTCTATAAAAACCGACTCAAGAAAATTGTTATCGACACGAGGAAGGACAAGGTCGAGATCGAGAAGCTGATATCGAGAGACAAGAAACGGAATCGTGACAAGCATAAGCTCGCATCGTACGCCGGTTATCCGGGGAATACTCCTGAAGGTCAAAAGGCATCGTCCGACGGCGAGGAGGATACGCGAAGGGGTGGCTCGGACTTTGCGGAGTCGTTCGTGGATTCGTTAGAATTCGGGCACCAAGCAAAAAGCTACACAGTGGATTCTAATGCCGGCGTAACCGCCGGTGCAAACCGCCATCGGGCCGGTAATGCTCGCTTAAGGGGAAACGAAGGCGCTTTTACGGGCAAGTCGAAGAACCAGATCCGTCCGGTCGAAGCGCTGAAGGAGACCGAGAGACGGAGCGATTGTTATTTCAGAGCAAACGCGCGTCCGCTGAGACTCGGAGAGCGAGCGGAAAATAGGCGGCAGATCGATGCGAACGTAAACACGAATCTAAATATCAATAGTCTTAATTATAAATTGGCCGGCGGCGACCGTGGCGGCAGGACGGAGAGACGCGTGGAGGATGCCGAGGTGGGAAAGAAAAATGACACGTCGACGAAATCGCTCGACGAGGAGGTGTCGCCCGACGACGCATTCAGCGTCTCGACGCGAGACGAATTGCGAACGATAAAGGACACGAATGCGACCGAGAGATCGGACGACGAGGAGATGGAGAAAGCGTCCGCGGACGAAACTTTGTATAATTCATGGAGCGGCCGCGACGGCGAGCATCATCGGTGCATCGAGGGGGCCTGCAAGGGCCGGCAAAAGTCCGCGGGAGAGGCGAAGGGAGGAGCCGGCATTAGTCCACATACTGATGTGAATTCGGGCTTATTAACTCCAAACTCATACGGGACTCCGGCTGGCGCCGCTAAAAAATCTCGAGAGATTTCCCCGGAGGATACCGAAGAGAAAGATCAATCTGATACGGAGGAGGAGGAGGAAGAAGACGAAGAAAACGAAGAAGAAGAAGAAGATTATCGCAGTTCCGCAAATCTTTCGTCCTCGAGCGTAGATTCAACGGAAGGGCAAGAGACCTCGACGAAGGATAATTGTATCAGTCGGCTGATAAATCCCGACGCTTCGATCGCCGAGAAGAACAACAAGGACGACCTGAAGCCAGGACGGCGGGGTCGGCCAAGGGTCGAGCAGAAGCGGCAAAATATCACACACAACCGCGACAAGAGTCATAACGTTAAGTACAATCGCAGCAGCAATTACGACGAGAAAATCGCGAAATTAGACTCAGGAGCGGCGAAAGGTGGCGAGGAAGCCACGACGGCCGGTCGACGCGAGACAAAAGGAGCGATCCGAGGAACCGACTCTGAGACGACGACGACGATCGCGAGCAGAGTTGCCGCGGGAACGAAGCGCGACGGCAATCGAGAGGAAGCAGCCGACGAGTGCGCCGACGACGACACCTGCGAATCCTCCGGTGACGCAGGATCGTCGTCAGCGGCGGAAGCGGAGAGGCCTCGGCGGTGGCGCTCGTCGAGCGCCGAGGACTCCGACGAGGACTTCAATGAGGACTCCAACGTGAACTCGAACGTGAACGCAAATTTGAACAGGCTGATCAAGCCGTGGCGTTAACGGAGGAGGAAAGCCAGACACGCAGCTCGCGTTTCGCAGCGGCGTTCCCAGGTTGTCCGCGACGCATCGATTCGCGCAAACAAGGAGCGTATCGGAGCTAAAGCAACCGATCGAAGACCCGCGAGAGGCAGCCGAACAGCGAAGCGGACGGAGAGCCAGCTCGAGCGGGAGCCCGCGCGACGGCTCGAATCTCTCGACGTTCATTAATGGACGAACAATATGATCCTCTGTAATACCGTCGGCCAATAAAGTTTGCGCTTCAGCATGACAGATGACGCATCGCTCGTCCGATTTATTCAGTCTCCGCCGCGCCGCGCCGATACGTCGTATATTTCACGGTTTTGCCAAATATCGCCTTCCAAACTCGCACTGATAGAAAGATATAGTTGAATCAACTATAATCTCACTATATTTTACAGTTCATTTTCGCGTCAATCATATTTTTATAGTTCGTGGAACCTGCAAAATATAGTAGAATAAACACAAATATATAGTCAACGGTTGTCTGAAATAATTGTTTAGTTACTTTTACCATATATATAAGGTGATTTCTCATTCACAAATATAGTGAGATTTAATATTCATATGGTTACATGGTTATGTCACCATTTAGCAAATATTCTGGTAATATTGACTATACAAAAGAGTTACTTTACCTACCATTTTATTTGTATCCATACAATAATTTTAGCTCAACTTACTATAATTCTCAGTAAAAATACTATATGATTGGTTAAACTATGCCTATGAAGGTAGTCCCAGAAGTACCCGACCTAACAAAGAAAACATTCGGGAAAAAAATTTGGGAAAAAATATCTTTATTTCTCTACATAGTCTCCTTTTAGCTCAATACACTTTTCCCAGCGATGTTCAATAGCTTCGATACCCTGTTTATATTGGGAATCTCCTCAAGAAGCTCCTCAAAATAGCCATCAACCGCAGACTCCACCTCTTCATTGTTGGCAAATCTTTTACCACCGAGCCATTTTTTCAAGTTTGGAAACAGAAAATAATCCGAGGGAGCTAGATCTGGCGAATAGGGTGCGTGAGGAAGCAATTCGAACGTTAACTCATTGATGTTGGCCATCGCGATAACGGATGTGTGAACTGGTGCATTGTCTTGATGAAACAAAACTTTCTTTTTCGCCAAATGCGGCCGTTTTTTCTTGATTTCATCACTCAAACGCTGCAATAAGTTCGCATAATACTCGCCGTTGATTGTTTTTCCTTTCTGAAGAAAATCAATGAAAATTATCCCAAAAAACGCGCATCCCAAAAAACTGACGCCATGACCTTGCCTGCAGATGGAACTGCCTTCGCCTTCTTTGGAGCCGATTCTCCCCTTTCAGTCCATTGTTTTGACTGTTCCTTCGTCTCAGGTGTGAAGTGATGGACCCATGTTTCTTCATCCATGGTTATGAATCGACGCAAAAACTCGGCTTTATTGCTGCGAAACTTCGGCAAACACTCGATTGAAACATCCTCACGACGCTGTTTTTCTTCCAATCGGCGGCCACCCATCTTGCGCGCAGCTTTCTCATGTCCAAATTTTCAGTCAATATGCGATGTACAGCACTTTTTGAAACGCCTACCATGTCTGCTGACTCGCGCACTTTCAGTCGCGACGGTCATCCAATACCATTTTGTGGATTTTCTTCACCATTTCTGGCGTGGTCATCTTATTTCCGGTCATCCACTGCGATGTTCGTCCACGGCCTCTCGTTTAAACTCTGCCACCCAATATTTTACTGTTGTAAACGAAGGAGCAGACTCCTCCAGAATACAATTTACAATTTCTAATTATAAAACTGTGTTCTCTATCAAAATTACTTCTTGCGTGAATTTTGGGACACCCTTTTCTTTACTTCTCTCTCAGTGCGGCACGCAGCAGCGCGCTGCGTATCTCTCGCGTGCCGGGGAAAGCTAAACAATCGATTCATGTCTCATTGTGCAAGCGTGGCGAACGGGAATCAAGATTGCGTGCGTGTCGTTTGTAATTGAGCGAGCAGTTTGTTAAGACGAACACGCGACGCGGCCAAGCGGCACGCGCATGTCGAAGCGGGCATTCTCGATTTTCCGTGCCATTTGCGAGAGATCGTATTGGCCGGCGCGCCGGGACGATTAATGCGATCGTTAATGCGCGAGCCACTTTCGCGCGGCAGCCGCGAATAAACGCGATCTGCTCCCGTGAGATCGGCCGAAGCCATTTGTCGACGCGTTCGATCCGATTAACGCGCGACGGTCGATCCGTAATAAGAAGGATCAGTCGAGACAAGCGGGTCCTCGGCTGGGAAAATTGTTACGCTGACACTTCTCCGTCTTCCCGATCCGACGCATCCGATGCATTCGCGACTCCTCTCCTATTGTTGCGAAAAGTACTGTCTCAGTCAAGAGCCCCGAGCTCGGATCTCCCAGACTCGCCGAGTCGGGCGCCGTCGAATTCGTCCACCGACGCGGCACCGAGCGGGCGTCTCGATGGGGATCGCGCGACCTGACGCTGAATTTATTTATTTACTTATTACTTATTCATTTATTCCCACACGCGTCCGCTGATTTTTCTTAACGGAGTGAGAACGCGCCATTTGCGATCGGCGAATAATAATTCTCCGCAGTCTCTTCATCTCGCGGCACGATTAATCACCGGCCTAGCGACACGTCTTCCTCGCGAGAGTCCTCGTTATCGTCGCGGGCGGGGGGGCGCGCTTCTCGGGACGCAGGGTTCGCTCGCGGACAATAAATCTGGCCCCACTCTTGCGACCGGCCGGCGGTATATGTACGTAGATGATGTGTATATCATATGTTGCAACGGGCAAAATGGCCATCAGCCATAGTGACCACCTGTTCGTATCCCTGACAGTTGTTTTCTGCCTGCTGTCGTCGCTCGCTCGTGTCTCGGATTCGTACGGTGAGCACACAATCATCCTACCATTTCGTACGACGTACGATTTAACATCCGTCGAAAAAAAGAAATTGACGAATCGGGGAAACAGTCCATTTCGTTGCTCCGCGCGCATCCGAGCGCAAGAGGAGCGAAAGAGAGAGAGAGATGCGTTTTTACACGATCGAAATGCAAAACGCTGCCGCGGAGCTTGACGGTGCGACAATGTTGACGATACGCTGCGACTGTAGGTAGCATTTTCTATCCGACATTTTGACATGTGAAAAATTTTGGTTAATATATACCGTACAGATTACATGTCGTTTCTCCCAACGCGTGTGTCATCCGATAAATCTTCAAAGTATCAAATGCATGCGCGCTGAGAGGAAAAATATCTCGACGGACTAAAAACAATGTTTATTCGGTTGCTAATGAAAACATACGTGAATGCAAATGCTTTTGCCTCGGCAGAACAAAGAACTGCTCTCGCGAAAAGTTACACGCAATTTTCTCAGTTGAGAACAGTCCCGCCTGGGCGCAAGAATGCGTTGTATTAACGAATATGTCATGTAATATCTAGCGAGAAAAATATTTTAAATCAGACCTCTCGGCGATTCACCGTCACGTTTTAAACTCGGACGGTGCAACTATTCGACGCGATTATCCATTCCGCGCGGTCTCCTGATCGCTCTGAGCGACGCGTTATAGAAACTCCCGCAAGCACGCGCGTTGACAGCGACTTGACAATGCCCCGAGTAGAAAAATTAATAGGGCTCTGGTAAGGGCCTGAGGTTACTTTTTACTAACATTAATCGGGCCCTAGTAGGTATAGAAAGACATGGAAGTATTTTTATTATTGCTTGAGTAAAAATATTCATTCTTTACATTCCAAGAAATTTAGACTGTACTTTCTTCATTTCTTTATAACTTTGTTAGTATATAAGAATCTTTTATTCCAGAAATACAGCATACTTTACAATAAGATATAGCATTTTTTACACATAAAAATCCTGCTGCTGTTTTTATTGAAGTTTGCTGCATTTTAAAACGAAGGCAATGCTAGAAAAATCCTTGGAATCCTTGGAGGAGACTAATGAACATGGCAACTGATAAAACTAATAAAATTGTTGTTTAATCGTGGTACAATTAAAAGAAATTTTTTAAAGAACCAGAAAGAGCGTACTTACTAAAATAATATTAAACTATGACAATTTTATTACACTCTTCGAATCTTATTAATTTTCTATAACGAAACTTGATTTTTTATATCTAAAGCATCTTCTTAAAAGATCCTTCTACGACCGTTTTCCATATTAAAGCGTTATTTCGTAAAATCTAAGTAATCCCTAAAGAAAATCCTTCTAAGGCCCTTCTCAACTTTCCCTATCAAAGCTTTATCTATTAGATCTAAGAAATCCCTAAAAAATCCTCCTAAGGTCCTCCTCTGCTTATCAAAGCCTTCTTTCGTAAAATCTAAGGTATCCCTAAAAAATCCATCTCGGGGCCTGATGTGGTGATAACGAGGCATCCTTTTTTAAGGCATCCTACTTTCAGCCTTATCCGGGCCTTATGCCTCATAAGGATGACCCTAACAATTTTTTGCTCGGGCCGTTGCCATCTTTCCGAGTCCCTCTATCTGCTATCATGCGCATTGAAGAACGCGGTAAATCCTCGGGCAGCTCGGTTTACTCCCTAAACCTGCGCAGATAGATTTCGAAGGAAAACTCCAAGTAACGCGACTGTTTCGAGCGGGCTTAACTTGTGCGATAGCGAGTAAAGAATCGACGGAAGTGCCGCGCGACACGATCTTCGCCGGCGATCGTGGGCCACCGTTGCGCCCGTAATTTACGACATAACAGCCAGGTAGGACGCCGTCGCGCGAGAAAAACAAGCGGAATCGATTCGAGTAGTGTAAGTGACACGTAACACGGAATCCTTATCTCTCTATCCGCTTCGGCGGATCGGCCAATGATAGCGTCGCGATTCCAGGAGAAAAAGAGATCGAAAGGGGAGGGGGGCGCGACGCCCTACCCAGACTCGTCCTCCTACCCAGTCCCGGTAACATTTCCGGTGGTCTCTTTTCACTGTTCCCTTTGCGTCGCTCTTATCGACATGAATCGCGATCGATACGCTCGGGAAAGTCACCGGCCACGGCGCGCCGGGCATCGCGTTGATTATCTCGGCGAGCTCGCGATAATTTCATTTAACTCTTATCGCGTCACGTTTGAATCCGTCGGAAATTGTCACTTTCGCGCCGCGGCGCGGCCATCTTCATCCAATTGTTCATTTCGAATTGCGCAGCACAGCGGCGCGGCGATTACCAAGGGACCCGCTCGACCGGCTAAACGGTGAATTGCGAACGTCTGTTTGCGCTTTGTGCCCCGTGTACGTATTTTCTTCTCGCCGCCGTCGCGCCGCCGCCGCGGCGGCACGAACGCGCCCCGTGAGTTAAATATATCCCTCCGAAAGTTTACACTCTCTCTCTCTCTCTCTCTCTCTCTCTCTCTCTCTCTCTCTATCTCTCTCTCTTTCGCTGTTTCCCGAAATGCACCGCTTGCTTACGCCAATTTTCTCGCTCTGTTTCAACTCCGCCGCGGCGACCGGCGCAGGTCGGATCGTCGCAAGATTTCGCCTCACGAGCGAACCGTCTAGTTCCATTATACGACGCGACAAAGTTGCACGCGGCGGATATATGCTGTCATTTTCACGTGTCCGCGTCAGTCGATTGCCGATGAGGACTCGCACGAAAATAGTCGCGGTGCTAATACGAGACATCTCTGGGAAAGAAAGGAGGCCGCGCGAGCCTCGGCTGAAAAGCCCCGAGAAAAATTAATAGGGCTCTGGTAAGAGCTTGATTATTTTTTCCTAACATTAATCGGGCCCTAGTAGGGATAGAGAGACAAGGGCTCTAAGATCCGCTTCGGATCTTATTAATTTTCTATAACAAAACTTGATTTTATATATCTAAAGCATCCTTAAAAGATCCTTCCAAGAACCTCGTCAGTTTTCCATGTTAAAGCGTTATTATCGTATTTCTTAAAATGAAAGGCATCCCTAATAAATCTCTCTAAGGCCCTTCTCAGCTTTCCCTATCAAAGTCTTACTTATTAGATCTAAGGCATTCCTAGAAAATCTTTTTAAGATCCTCAGCAGTTTTCCTTATCAAAGCCTTATTCCGTAAAATCTAAGGTATTCTTAAAAGATCCAGCCTGGGGGCCTGATAATGATGAGGTATCCCTTTTTAGGGCATCCTAACTTTTATATACTTTCCCAGTAGGCCTTATCGGGGCCTTATGCCTCACGAGGATGGCCCTAACAACTTTTTGTTCGAGATGTCGCTGAAATAATGACGACGCGTTCGTGAACTTATTCGGATTGCGGGCTTCGTCGTGGTGATCGAAAATCCGAGACCTCTAGAAAATAAATCCTCATGAAATAATAATGGCGTCGGTAAAACTCCTGTTTAGAGGACCCACCTCCGGTGACCTTGTCTGTTAGATATATTATCAAGGAGACCCTCCTGAATCACAATCAAAAGGTTTTAGCCATCGCTCATTGTTTATTAAAAAGTTATTAACAAGAAAAGTTGTACGAATGTAACGTAATTTTTCGAAACAGTTTAATAAGAAGGAGATAATTCTTCATTATCAGATATACATTGAAGGAGCATGTAATATATACATACGTTTTATATACGTAATGTAATGTTTTGATTTCTTATATTCCTTTGTAAGGCATTCTTACTTTGTAAATTGACTACAATTTTAGTCAGTGCGTCACAGCTCTGCTATGTGTAAAATCGCTCTCGCTTCTGCTTTAGAAACGAAATAATTTATACAGTTAATATGCATTTAAAACCTAAATTTGATCGTGACTCAGGTTTCCTTGGTAATATATCTAACAAACAAGGTCATCGGAGGTGGATCCTCTAAACAGGAGTTTTATCGTCTAAGCCCTGGTCTACAATACGTGATTTAAGCTTTAAACTAAAAGAAATTAACCAACGGCAGTCGATTATTTTCCTCACATTCAACTGTAATTGGTTAATTTCTTATAGCTCAAAGCTTAAATCACCTGTTGTAGACCAGGACTTACGGGTCGTTTCGGTCACGACGAGCGGCGTCGCGGACACATTTGATTCTCTGCGAATGAAGATCTCCCGGATTAGATCCGCGCTCTGCGCTTTGCGCTAAACATAGAGCGCAGCCGGCTCGCGGCGTCGCAAGTACCGCCGCAGTCGACAATTTTGTCCCGCGATGATGAAAGTGACAGTTAATTAATTCGACGTTTATTGGATCTCGGCGCGGAACAGCCACCGCGAACAATTAGATCAAGTTCCTCCGACGTTTACTGCCTCGCGGATGAGCTCGAATCCGCGTTTATAACGGATGGCATCGATTTTCTATTTCCGGCGCGGATCTCGTATCGCGGATCACAGCGCGCGTCGCCGAGAGTTGCGCATAAAAGTCGCGGCCGAATGCAATCTCCGTAGCTGCGATAAAGGCCTCGCGAGAGAGCGTCTCTTTTGCTCTCTCTCTCTCTCTCTCTCTCTCTCTCTCTCTCTCTCCCTCTCTCTCTCTCTCTCTCCCTCGTTATATCGATCCGCTCGAAATACGTTGCTAACTTCGTAGATTACGGGTTTATTCCATGTCGAACTCTGGCGTCAAAGGGTAAAGTTGCTTTTTCCCCCCGCCAACAAAAGCTGCGCGCGCGCCCAAAATCTAATTCCGCCGACAGCGGCGGCGGCGGCGGCGGCGGCGGGCGCGTCGAGACATAAATTAAATTCCGCTTAAAAGTGCCACCCATCGGCGGGTTAATGCGGGGTTATAATTTCCTTTCCGTTCTTAATTTACCTGGAAATCGCGCGAGTCCCGAGCGCTAACGGCCTTTATTAGCGCTGTAAATCTTATTAGCGCTCTCGACTTTACCCCCCGACTCGCGGCGAGATACACAAGCGCTTTGCATCGCGCCTAACTCGCGAGGGGGCCTCGCTCGTGCGCGTAAATCGTCGCGTCGGGCGCGGCCGCGATTATCGATCGAATCAAATCAAAAGACGAAAGCGCGACAATAACCCGAACTAGAAATTTATCCCATGGTCCTGATCAGGTTAACTTCATTTGGACATCAGGTCCCAATAAGGTAATACTATCGGGTCCCAGTAAGTCATGTAACGCAGCGTGGATACCAGGATACCTTAGTAAGGATTCATCCGTCAGGTTCTTATTAAGTTACCTTATGGAATCCTTATTACGTTTTTTTCTTTTTTTTTCAAATTATGGCTCCTGATTACTCGCCACGGCTATATTGGATGATGACATTAGAAATAAGAAATGACACGCTGGAAATTCTTTCATGTCATTTCCAAGTAAAAAGATATTTGCATGAAATAATATTTTAGATCGCTTGAGCATACTTGTAAAACGTTTCGGGAAAGAAACATAAAATGGATATCACAAGGTGACAAGACATAAAGTAGTGTTAAAGAGATGAGTTGCGTGTCACGTTAACGTTTTATAACTATTTATTGACTGCTAAAGAAAGGATAGTTTCTGTGGCATTTTACAAATATATTCAAGTGATCTCAAGTGTTTTTTCAATGCAAACATCTTTATATTTGGAAATGACACCCAAAAATTGTGTCGTTAAAACTTGATAATGCAAATAATCATATTAGGTACAATGAATAAGATCCCGACAAGGACCTGATTAACTGAACCGTATTATATCACACTAGGTTGGTACATTAAGGACCCAATCATTATAACCTTATAAAGGTCTTCCTTACTCATTTGTCGTTAGGACATTATAAGGACTGACTTACTTAGGGTTACCTTTCACTCACCCCATTAGGTCCTTATCAATGTTAGGTGAATCAGATCAAAATTTCTAGGAAATTTCGGGAATTTGTCGTTCCTCCCGCGGCTCGCAAATAAAAGCGCGGGCATTGCGAGAGCGCGCTCTCGCACTTTCAAAGCCCATCCCCCGACGAGAAGCGAGCAAGTGCGGGAGGATAAGCTCCTCTTCGTCACATCAAAACGACCCGGCTCCCCCCCCTCCACGAAACCAAACGTGAGGACGCGAGAGGAAATCATGGAAAATGATCGCAGTGACAGCGGCGCGTTTCCCGCGCCTGGCAGTTGACGAGTCAAAAGTAAACACCGGCAAATGGACTCCGCACAGCCAACGGCGGCACCCCCATCTCGCGCCCCACCTCTGTCCCCCTTCGTGCGGCGCTTTACTGCGCTTTTATCTTTTCAATTACCGCGCCGGTGCCTCGGCGGCGATTAAATATCGTTAAACTGCGCCCGATTGCGGCCGGCGCGCGTGCGGCCGTTGCGGACTCGTTTCACCGCGCGTTTACGACCTCCAACACAAAGCCCTCTCTCGCCCTCCATCGAGAGGGAAGCTCCGCGACCGCGATTATCGCCCTTGCACTTCGCCGGCTACGCGAACGGCGCCTCGCGTGCATCCGGCGGAGGTGTTTACTTCGTCCGAAACGTTGCGCGCCTGAGAGAGAGAGAGAGAGAGAGAGGGGGGGGAGAGAGAGAGAGAGAGAGAGAGATATAGAAATGCAACGGTTACGTTCTGAAAAATTGAAATCGGGGAGGAGAGGCGAAAAAAGAGAGAGAGAGAGAGAGAGGGAGGGAGAGAGAGAGAGAGAGAGAGAGAGCGGCGGAAAATTGGAAGGCAGAAATAATAAATGGTAAGCTGCGCGCGAGCGCGGAGAGAAGTCCGCGAAGGACATTGATAAATATCTCAGAAACGGCAGGTATAGTGCTCGGACGAGCAGTCTCCTTCGCGCTGTAAGCCGAGGGGAGACGGGCGTTTGTTACGGGTGGGTGGGGGAGGAGTGGAGGGGGAGAGCTGAAATGCACGCGTCTGTTAAGGCGAGAGCGACTCTGGCAAGTTTGATAAGCGCTCGCGCGGCTGTAATGCCGGGGCGGTGCATATTCGCGAGACTGATATTCGCCAAGTTCGACAGACGGGAAAATCGGCCAGGCGGCGCAGTGAGTGAGTGAGCGAGCGAGCGAACGAGCGAGAGAGCGAGAGAGCGGGAGATAAGTTAAGTGGCTCTTTGACAAGGACACTCCCGGCTCCGAGCGGCTCGGTTTATTCCATATTATCCGTTCGGCGAGCGTAACCAAGTGGGTGATTAAGTCTCTCCCGTACTAAGGGCCGGGCATCCAGAGTCTGTCTTGTTTGCAGATTACACCGGCGACTCGAGACCGCCCGGGAAGAAGCTCGCGGTCTCACAGCACGGGAACAACACTCAGCGGTTACCGAATTACAACTGGAAGCCGCCCGACAAGCAGCATGGCCCGAGGTATTCCGGTAAACCGCAGCCGGTCACTGTGTTGATGATGTACCGGGCTGCTCCTCGAGACCCTTAACCTGCTTTCCATTTCGATAAACGTCGTGGAGTGGCGGGAAGGGGGAGGGGGGGGGGACGGGAGACTCGGTAGCCGAACGCGAGAGCAGCCCCGTCGAGATTCCGCGCATTCGGGAAAGCTCAGCGGGAGAACGTCACGGGCGATTATATCGCGCGCGGAACGATAATCGCTCGAATCGCGCGGGGGGGGGGGCGGGAGGGGTGAAGGAATTCCCCGAGGAGGAGCGCGACAGATTATGGCAAATCAAGTTACAGCGGGTAACCGTCGTGACCGTGCCGGCAGGGAGGAATCGTCGGGCAAGAAAGCGGCGACGGAATTTACAAAAGCCGAGGATCCGGGACAAAGGGCGACGGATCCGCGGATAAAGAAAATGCAGGAGATAAGACGACAGGAGAGAGAAAAATGGCCGGGGCGCAAAAGAGACGAAGAAAACGGGCGACTCGGCGTCCTCGACATTGTCGAAGGAACTACGAGAGCGAGCGAACTTGCGAGGGATGAATCGATCACGGTAAAGACACAAAGAAATTGCTCCGTTCGGGCAAACGTTAAGCTAACGCGTGCATACCTCCGACATTGCTGCGCTTGCGGGCGGGAAATGCTGAAGGAAAGCGCAATTACACGATTACACGCCGATACTCTTTGCGCGGCACCGGACAGTATGGGATTTTACAAACTTTTATCGCGCATTGCAATGTTGATTGCAACGTTTCCCCTTTTACAGACATTAATTCCCTCGGAAAGCACGGAATCTCATGGAAACGGCGAGGAAGGATCGGGCTCTTCCGAGCATTTGTTTCGGAAGGGCGATGAATCGCCTAAAGCGACCGCGCGAGAGGTAAGTTCATGAAGTTCAATTAACCCTTTGAGGCAGGTATTTTTCAGAAAATCCGAATCACATGAAAATTTATATACGGGGGGGTTTCTGGGGTCGCTGATGACGAATCCATTATCAGATTTTCGAAATTCAAGATGGCGGACGCAAAAATAAGTCGCGATAATTTCGGTGACAATGGGTATTGTGGGGTTTTTGGAGTCGCTGATTACGAATCCGTTATCAGATTTTCAAAATTCAAGATGGCGCCCATAAATATGAAAAATCGCGATAATTTCGGTGTCATCGGTGATGCGTAATCAGCGACCTTGAAAGCTAACCAAGGTACAATTTCAGCTAATCATATGCAAATTTTATGATCCGCCATCTTAGAAAATAAATTTTAGAATTTGGACCTCAGATTCGTAATCAGCGAGCTCAAAAATTAACCAGAGTACAATTTTAGCTAATTTTATGTACATCCGATGATCCGTCATCTGGAATCCGCCATCTTGGAAAATGAATTTTAGCATATGGATCTCAGATTTGTAATCAGTGACCTGAAAAACTAATCATAGTACAATTTCAGCTAATTTAATAAAAATTCGATGATCCGCCATTTTGAATTCGCCATCTTGGAAAATTAATTTTGGAATTTGGTCCTCAGATTCGTAATCAGCGACCCAAAAACCCCCAAATCTTGATTTTGAGCAGAAAATTCACTCACAGTTCGTGGAAAATGATTTTTTTCTGTACAAATATGTATTTTTCACACTTTGTTCATTTATAACAAATGGACAACTTACGCAAAACACTTTTCAACCTTTCGTATATGTTCCCATATCGTATAAGAAGCTAAAAAACGCAAAAAACCCGACAAGAATCCCTCAAATATGAAATATTTCATGAAAATGTGAGAATAAACTATGCCTCAAAGGGGTTAAACTTTGTCCAAAAACTCGATACGAAAAAGATTCTGTACACAAAGCCGCGAGGAATCCCGACCTCTTTGAGAGACTTTGAGAAAATACACAAGTCTCGAGTAATTATCCTCATAAATTTGGAGGAATAAATAGTGGAATCTGTCAACAGCCCGACCTTGGGAAAAACAAAGCAATGTCGAAGCAATAATCCCACACGTAGATGCGAAATACATAAAAATACTGTTAAACGCTCAAACCTCAAAACTACCACCGCGACTTCTCTCACCGCGACAGATCGGCTCCTCCGGCCCGCGGAAGCCCGCGCAACATCGGCCGGCGAATCAGAGCGACGCGAGCGACACGAAAGCTTCCCAAAATTCCACGGAATTGAGATCGAAACAATCCACGAGTGCCAACGAGTCGTCGCGCGAGAAGGTCAGCAGTCATCGTTGGGGCATGAGCGTGAAGAAACCGCCCGCGGGGTTTCTCCGGGATGCGTACGCGACTCATCAACGCGACAAGAAGGCAGACAGGCCGTCCGAGAGTAAGAGGAAAGCCGAGAAGGAGCAAAGCGTCGCGACGAAGAATCAGGAGAAAAGCAAGCCCGAGAAGGTCCGAGAAGGTCTGCTCGGCTCCACGGTGAACTCGCACGGCAGGCAGCCGACCTCGCATCGACCGAGGAGCCGAGATACCCTTGAAAGGCGCAAGGGTTCGCATGGAAATTCGAAAAGCCCAAAAGACAACGGGAGTTTGAAGCGCGAGAAGCATCGTCTCGAGCAACACCCTGCGCGGGAACATCCCGCGAAGAAACAACCGAGACAATCTAGTCTCCCCCGAGGTGGCAGCGAGGGAAGCAGCGAGAGCTGCGACGAGGAGGAGAGGATGGAAAAGGGCGACGAGGAAGGTCATGCCGGCGGGAAGGTCGTAACGGCGGGCTCGTCGACGCGGAAGAGCAAGGAGGAGAAGGAGGACGAGGACGAGGACGAGGAGACGACGGATGATACGAGGGGAAAGGACGCGACGGAGAAACCGCTGAATCACAGGAGATCGTTTCAGCCTGGTAGATGGGGCATGAGCGTCTCGTCGCCGCCCGCGGAATTTCTGAGGGACGCGTCCTGGCGAGCGATGCATCGGAAAAATAAGGAGCGTGCCGGCGACGGAGAGGAGGAGGAGGAGGAGGAGAAGGAGGAGGACGAAAGGGTCCATCGGACTGATCGATGGGACGTGAGCGGCTTGTCTTCGCCCGGCGAGGAATTCCTCGGGGGTATGCCGGAGCTGCCGGCGCGAGGACGCGGGAGCGGACGCTCGACCGTGAAAAGTGGGTCAAGGCCGGGCGAAGTCAAAGGATCTCCCGCCGATCGACCGCCGGCTGCTCAAAGGCCGCCGGATTTGCAAGGAGCGAACCGCGCTAATGAGGACTCGGCGAGCGCTGCGCTCGCAGCAGCACTTCCGAACGAGCCGGGCGATCATCTCGCCGATGTCCCGAGGACTCATCATCAGCAACGTCGTCCCGACGATATTGATTTTAATAACAATCCCAGGGGCAGGATTCTGATTCACCAGATCATGGCTTTGTGGTCCTACATCGGCTGCGGCGCGGACTCGCCGGCGGCGGACGCGCATTATCGAGTGCGATCCCCCGGTTCCTCTCTTCGTAAATAATTTCCTCGTCAATCTGTATGTCCTGCCCGCGGAGAATCGTTCCGGAAGCTATCGGCGCGGCGTTTGCGGCACAAATCAGCACAAACATATAGCACAATACGGGATAAATATGGAATAAAGAAAAACTCAAAATTCGAAAAGTGCGGGGCTACTAAAAATTTAGTTTTTCTTAATTTTTTTGAGTACGCTTTGAGAGTTATAGAGTTGCGGATTGCGGCATAATACGGCACAAACGTAGCGCAACGATGCACAATTCGAAAAAATACAAGATTCGAAAAGCGCCAACTTCACGCACGTCGTTTGCGCGCATAAGGTAAATGTTCCAATGGCCGGACACGTCGCGCGCTTATCCGAGCGCTTTGAAAAAAAATATTTACCATTTATTTTAACAATAATGAATGAAAGTAATAACTATTGTAGACAGAAACTGCGATATTTGACGATTAGTTGGAAAAAAATATACCCAATTTGATACTTTTGTATTAAAACAAAAATTAATTAAATGAGTATGCACCTATGGTTTGGCAAAATAATGATCAATCGTTAATAAATTCATTTTAAGAGATATCATCTATATTTATATTATTTCCTGTTAGCACATACCAATTTTCTAATTGCGGTCGGGCACTAAGACAAATTATATCCGAACATAACCTGTTTCAACTGTCCGGTCACTGCTACATTAATGCGCTTCGTTATTTGTATAAATATTTCGTTAATAATAAATATAATACATTGGTTTAAATCATTTTTCTCTACTTATGTTTTGTGACGACCTACGGTTAACCCTTTAAAGTCCGATTTTTTTATAAGCGTTTTAAGAATAAAATTTGAGTTTTTTTGAACTGAGACTATGAGTAGCGATAACCGAAAGAAATATCAGAATTTTATATCTACGAAAAACTACCTTCTGAATAAATGAGTACATGAAGTTTCCGTGTTTCGCTTGTTGGTTTCGTTAGTTTGGATTTCTTATCGTTCGTTTGTATCTACGAAAAACTACCTTCTGAATAAATGAGTACATGAAGTTTCCGTGTTTCGCTTGTTGGTTTCGCTAGTTTGGATTTCTTATCGTTCGTTTTTTGTTTATTGGTAAATATGACTTGGATCCTGAAAGCATGTACGAAATGAGCAACCTATACAGAGAAAAATGAAGGGTAATCTATACGACATATTACTCTGATCTATACGACATATAACTCTGATAGTCAGCTTGACAGTTTTCAGCTGAAACTTTATTTATATATTTGTGAGTGAAGTTTATCATTCAGAGCGTCAAGCTTACTATTTCAGAAGAATATCTTATAGATCACCATTTAGATAGTCAATCGTCTCTTCATTTTTCGCCGCATAAAAAGCGCTGTAGGTCACTGCAGGTTTCAGGAAAATAACTTAATTTCTTGATTTTCGTGTCCACCATATTGGATTCGCCATTTTGAATTTCTGTATTCTTTTAATTTCACATTTTGCATCTGAGAAAGCTTCCAAATGTACAAAATTATAACATATACCAGTCTATTCGTTTATAGTGCACTTCTACATGTCAGTAACAATGCTAACTATGCCTACTTGTAATTTGACAAAACATGTTATTATTAAAACTGAGCTAAAAACAGACTAAACCGAATTTACAAACAATCTATGTACCATTTTTTAGAAGAAGAATTCACCTTTGCAGTGGTGCAAAGAAAACGAAAATATTTCCTTTCTTGACCAAGTTATGGATTCTTAAATGCGTTTCTGCTAACTATAGTTAGCAGTAGGCATTAAAGAGTTAAGGGGACTGGAGGGTCAGATTGCTGAAAAATCGTGCTTGTTTTTGATAATATTTTGTGACGAACTGAATAAATGTGCAAGAATGTTAGCTATAAATCTTGAGGAGGCTTATCATTATCCGCTGAACCGTTAGAACAAAAAATCGAACAAAATGAACAAGATGGCAGCTATTATTAGGAAAAAATTCAAATTCTTCAGTTTCATTTACAATAAAAAAATTAATATCTCGAAACGAAATATTTTGACGGAGTTGTCCACGGTTCACCTGAGAGCCACATGAACAAGTATTATCGCTTTAAAATTTCAAATCGACACGAAGCTCAATTTCGGAGAAATCACTGCAAAAAGTTGAACAATAAATTTTCGAGGAAAACGCGTTTAAAATTGAAGTGGACGTATATTTATATGAGTATTTGTTTGAAAACAAAATTTTCCTACTCTTCATATGTTATATAAATATATGTAAAATTTTCATTCTTGCACATTTAATCAACTCGTCACAAAATCATTATCAAAAAGAAGCACGATTTTCCAGTAATCTGACCCTCCAGTCCAGACCCTTAAATGTCCAGAGTTACTGGGATATTTACGTTACACCGAGAGATAAATTAAACGTTCGAGTGTCTGAAGACACCGAGCAACGGAATTGTTGCGCGAGGTGCTGTTAATTGTCTCACGTAGTATAGTAGACATGTTTGTATCGTGAAATAAAGAGGTGCCGAGCAGACTACCGCAATAGATCAATTTGGACCTCGAGGATATTTTGGCGCGATATGTTACATGTCGCCGAGAAAAACCTTCCCTCCGCGGCTTTCTCGCGAGTTGTGGAAATCTCGAATCGCCATGCGATACTTTGGTCGTTCGGCCAAAGTTACCGCAAGCTGCTGCGTTATATGTTCCTGCGCAGCAGAATCGTAAGTGACTCGGCGCGAAAATAGAAAAGGACAAGGCTGCGCCAAATCGAACGAGAGAATCCGAGTAATCGGAAAGTGAGCCGCCGATTGGCCGACACGATTTCTGACGTCACATCGGACAAATTCCCTGCTATTTCAAACTGCTTGCTCAAACATATCGCGCTGTCGAGTAATCTACTATTAATTATTCCCTCTTGTCAATGGAACGTCTTGCACGCCCGCGAAATTTTAAATACGCAGTCATTCTCGCCACAGAATTACGATCGATTAACACGCGATTGTTCGTTTCGACGCGTGACCAAAGAGCGCGATAAAACTCGGCGATTTCGTCACTTTTAACGAGTCCTTCCTCTCTCCCTCCCTCCTTCCCTCCCTCCCTCTCTCTCTCTTTTTTCCTTCGTCAGTCACGTCACTCGAAATCACGCGCGAAATCGCAAGATGTAATTTCACGGGGCGGGGGAGGGGGGGGGGAGGTAGTAACATGCTGCACAATGGTAGCTCGTAATTTTCTCATCGCGAGAGCGAGATAAGCAGTCGCTTTATTACTAATGGCGCGATAACATTGTGTGCGTCACGCGCACAATGAGCGGCGTTCTTGATGAGCTTCCCTCGATATGGGATGAAACCGGACGCGCCGTCAATTTTCCGCCACTCGCGCAAGAGGCGAAAAATTTGGCTGGGGGAATCGCGAAAACCTCCAAGGTCGCGTCAAATTGTCCGATGACATGTCGACAAGTTGGCGAGTTCCTAAACGCGGCGAGACGCAAATCGATATGTAACCACGGATGGACAAGCGGCAAACAATCGGCCTCGATCGGTCGGTCTATCAACGGACGGACGGACGGGCGTGTTTGCATCCCGCGGTATCGTAACATCGCGGTAATTCGCGCACTTTGCATCGCGCCAGTCGATGTAGCGATGATGTAACCCGGTGTCATCTCGATCGCCGGTGTATTTGCGCGTGTTAACCCTTTTCGGGGCGCCGGACACTCGCCACGTGAGGTTACCTAACGCGAGAGAGAGAGAGAGAGAGAGAGAGAGAGAGAGAGAGAGATTGCCGTGCGAAATGTTTTCATGCGCGTGCCACCTCGAGCAAAAAATTGTTAGAGCCATCCTCATGAAGCATAAGGCCCCGATAACACTGAAAGTAGGATGCCCTAAAAAGGGATGCCTCATTATTATCACATCAGGTTCCGAGATGGATCTTTTAGGGATTCTTAGATTTTACGAATTAAAGCTTTGATAAGAAAAGCTTTGAGAAGAACTTTGAAAGGATTTTTTGGGGATGCCTTAGATTTCACGAAATAACGGATCTTTAACATGTAAAACTGACGTGGGCCTTAGAAGGATCTTTTAAGGATGCTTTAGATATATAAAATCAAGTTTTGTTATAGAAAATTAACAAGATTGGATGCGTGTAATAAAATTGTCATAGTTTCGTATTGTTTTAGTAGTTACGCTCTATCTGCTTCTCTTAAAGATTTTTTAATTATAACGCAAAGGCAAATTTTATTAGTTTTGTTAGCTACTATATTCATTAGTCTCTTTCAAGGATTTTTCTAATATTGCCTTCGTTTTGAAATGCAGCAAAGGGGTTTTTATTTAATAAAAACAGTGGCAGGATTTTTATGTGTAAAGAATGCTATATTTTATTGTAAAGTATAAAACATTCTTGTTGTATACTAACGAGGTTACAAAAGGATAAAGAAATTACTAAATTTCTTGGAATGAAAAGAACAAATATTTTTATTCAAGCAATAATAAAAATATTTCCTTATAAGGCCCTATTAAAACTGCCTCATAAGGCCCTCATAATATTGCCTCATAAGAACCCATTTGCTACACACCTTTAGTATTTTTACCCCTACTAGGGTCCGATTAATGTTAGGGAAAAGTAATCAGGCCCTTACCAGAGCCCTATTAATTTTTCTACTCGGGACGTTTCCTAACGAGATAATTACGCGTTGTGGAAAATGCTATCGGACAGAGAATGAAAGACTTTCGGGATATAAATCACTTTATCGATAACAGGATAAAGAAGAGCGTTGAGCGCCGAGCGGTGGACGTGCATTGTTTCGAGGAAAAATATATCGAAATTTCGAAAGCGGCGCAATTTCCCGAAAAGTCGCAACACCGAAATCCGCACACCGAGGCGACCTCTCGAAATACAATGTTGCGAATGTCGGAATTGTACAGCATTAGTTTGCGCTCATTTGAGCGCGGCGGGAGAGTCGGTGCTCCAACGCACCGGGAGCCAAATCTCTGAAAAATTGAACACCAACCAAAGAACTGTTCGAAACGCGCGAGAAAATGTATATTTCCTCGAAATCAGTCGTTTGTTCCATTTGAGTGGAAGGACTTGGGTTCGAGTAAACGCGCGCACACTAGGAAAAATATATTGTTGCGTGAATCAAAATTTTGTTGCAGCAACAAAATAATTTGATTAAAATATGCCCGACAAAACTGTTTAGTCCCTGTAAACAAATAAACTCGTTTGGTTACGGTTCGTTCGTATAACGTAATACCTTT